ATGACAGCTACCCACACGTGGCCACTGGGCCCTTGAGCCGTGGTCCAAGCTCCCCGAGCAGTGGGTGCGAGACGCCAGGTGGCACACACACAGATGCCCCAAGAGTAACTGCTCGGGTCCTGCTGATAGGATTTTGGATACATTTTATAAGTTCACGTTAACTTGACTCTTTAAAGGTAGTTCCAAGAACACGAAGTTCCCTCTGTGGTCCCTGTGGCTGCTACCGCCAGGCACAGGGTCCCTCCAGGAGCCTGCACACTGGGGGTTCACGCAGGGCAAGCAAGAAGGGGAGCACCTGGGGCCAACCCTGGTCTCCTGGGCTGGCTGGGGATGCAGGTCAGGGTTCCTGATCAGAGGTTAAGGGCAGAGGCCCTCAGCAGGACTCAGGGGGCCCCTGAACTTGAAAAATGACCCATTCATTTTTACCAGCATTCCTTCCACGGTGACTGTCAGAGGCAAGAGAATCACAGGGACATCAGCTGAGTGTGTCACTGCAGATTCCCAAGTGTCACTGAGGCTCAGACCCAACACACGCTGAGCTGGTGACTGGACTTAGACGTGGTGTGTTCCTAGGCAACGTCTGTACTCCTGCCGCGGACACGCAGCGGGGTTCTATGACCACGGGTTCCTCTGGCCCTGTGAAGCTCCTTCAGGAAGGTAGAGACATTAGTCTGAGAAGGGTCCCTCTGCAGACCAGAGGGGCCTGTGGCACCAAAAATAAACCGATTGCAGCCTACGGAGGAAGGTGTGGCCTCTGCAGCCTGGGTGCTGGCACGTCACAAGCAGCAGGCACATGGCTCCAGGCAGGGCGCAGGCTGCCCTCCTGTAGGGCCGTGCCCTCCGTGGTCTACCCCAGGCAGGCTGCTGTGGAACGGGAGGACACAGTATCTCACCCCTGTGGCCTCACACACCAATAAGTGGGAGAGCCCACTGTCATGGCTCCACAGCGTCCTTCCCTGCTCCACCCGGGAACCACCTTCACTCAGAGCCCCACCTGGGGGTGGGCACCAGGAGGGAACAGGCTCGGAAACAGGTGGGTGGTGGGCCTCCAAGGGACTCTTCCCCAAGCCACGCAGCCTCACCACAACTGTCACTAGGGTACCCTTGGAGCATGGGCACTGCCACCTGGAGAGCAACTCACGTCCAGGAGCAGGCCTGCCACTCACCCCCACACTCTCACCCAGTACTGCAGGCAAGGTGGGGGGCACAGGGGGGGACCCTAAAGCCATAGGTGTAGATGCTGAAGCCAAACAGCCTGCCAAGGCCCACGCTGCCAAGAGAGGGAGCAAGGTCCGCTTAGGGGCAGTGCTATTTCCCAGACAGGCCACCAACATGGACACCCTTAGCAGACGGAGGGACCCCTACAGCACACACCAACACTGACTGCTGAATGCACTTTTCAAAGGTGTTCAGTTCCAGTTCTCTCCCCAGAGTGTGATCAACCACTGCAGACCCAGAGCCCATTGGTAGGACCGGACACAGTGACTGTGACTGGGCCTGTTCTGGCCTGTGGAATGGGGGCCCTGGGCCTGCAGAGCTCGGGACCCTCGCCAGCTTTGTGGGCCCCTGCTGTTTTCTGCCTGGAGATTCAGGCAGGATTCTGTGAGGGCCCCACGGCAGGCACACTGAAGGCCACGGTCGGCTAGAGACCCGCCCAGCTCCAGACGCCCTACACATCCCAGCAAAGCGACAGGCAGCGCCTGTGGGGTCTGTCGAGGCCACTGAGCCAGCCACAAATGGGCTTGAGGACGCCCAGCAGCAAGTTGCCTCGGACAGCAGCAGGGCACTCGGAGCGGTAGGGTTGCGGGTACTGCGCACACCGCAGATCCAAGGTGCACGTGGTCAGATCCACGAGGTCCCTGGCTCCGCCCCCAGCCTCACGGGACAGCTGATAGGCAGGGTTCCCTCCCTAGGCCTGCAGAAGCAGCACTGTCAGGATCGGATCCCAGCGAGACCCCTAACAAGCCCCCAGAGACTGCAAGCTGGTCGGAAGGAGCCACCCAAGCTTGCAGCGAGGGAGAGTCAGCCTTGTTCACCCTGGCGAAGTCCAGCCCTGTCCAGCAGGAGACTTGGAGGGCACTAGGTCCACTCTTGGAAGCCATGGTGGCCAAGAGATGGACGCAGTGCCGTACCCAAGGCAACCCGGGGCCCACCACTAGATGGCAGACACGCCCCAGAAAACCCCGGCCCCCTTCCCGCAGCTCGGAGCTGAATCAGCTTCCCCCTGGGAACTGGAGCGCGGCCACATTCCTTAAATACCCTCAGGACTGCTCTTGGCATAAAGCGTGACAAGCGCAGTGGTCAAACGTGAGCACCACACTGAGGCCAGCAGCTCAGAGACAGACGGAGGCCTGGCCCTGGCAGGATGCACACCCACCACTAGCCACCTGGTGAGCTGGGAGGCAGAGGCCAGCTGGTCTCCCTGGACCAGGCTCAGGCTGGACTGCATGGCTGCCTGAAGGCCGCACAGTCCACTCTAGGCAACACCCCAGAGGCCCCACAGCCCTCCTAGGAAAGGACACAGCACAGGCTGCGCAGAAATGAGCTGGTCTGTCCCAGCGTCCTGCCCTCACCTGCCCCTCGCCTCCCCCCATCTGATAAGAACAGAAGTCTGGGTTTAGCGCTCACTCACGTGGCTCTTATTTTGGTTGACATATATATGCACCCACATTAACAGCCACACCCACAATCTAGCTGGTGGCTTCACTTCATCCTGGGCTCAGAATTGCTTGTTCTCAGTGCTGGGTAGAACCCCAGGCCCGCGCGTGGCCCGCAGGTGCCCTGACACTAAGCTACACCCCCAGCCCAGACATCATTGATGTTCAGAACAAAAGTCTGAACATCCCCCTGCACCAAACAACCGAGAGCCGCCTCTCTGGCTCTGTTCTCTCAGAGCTGACTCCCCCCACCCTGCGTCCCCTCCCCTCTCTGACCTTGAGGCAAATCTTAACAGGAAGGAGTCCGTGCCTCGGCTGGCCTGCACTGAAGCAGCCCTACTGGGCCAGGCAAGGCCGGCTCACAGCACCTGTGATGGGGAGGACAGCTGACCCACTCAGGGCATCCCTGGGTGGTACTCGGGTGGGGAGACCCGAACCACAGCCAGCACTGGCGTGCAGGGCCTCTGCCCACGGCACAGGTGAGCCAGGAGGCGGCCGTCCAGCTTGGTGGATGGACAGAGGCATTTGAAACACTGCAACCAGCCCGGTCGGTCCTGCTGAAGTCCCAGACGGGATGACATGAGCCACAGGAGTGCCAGTGGCCAGAGGCAGCAGATCACTATGCTCATTAATGAGGATCACAGGGAGCCTAGGAGACAGAGATAGGTCGGGCGTCACTGGGAGACCAGGAGACAGGACTAGGGTGTCACTGGGAGCCAAGAGACGGGGGTGAGGTAGGGTGTCACTGGGAGACCAGGAGAGGGGGGCTAGGTCGGGTGTCACTGGGAGACTGGGAGACCAGGAGACGGGGGCTAGGTCGGGTGTCACTGGGAGACCAGGAGACGGGGGCTAGGTCGGGTGTCACTGGGAGACCAAGAGACAGGGGGCTATGTCGGGTGTCACTGGGAGACCAG